GTGCTAACTTTGCATGACGTACTAGAAATTTAACCGCCAAAAATAGGAACTAAATTAATTAAAAAGAAAGGAATTTCAGACATTTTCTCCTAAAAACTCAACAAAGGACGAACTCATCGTCTTCAATCAATGAAATCCTGCTGTGCCCTTGAAATCGACTTAAACTGAACACTAACCAGATGTACCAAAAATTGGTCATGGCTGATTGAAAGAACAATCGCCGAACCATATCATTGAAATCCTTCACATAGTGGCGCATGTGTTTCTTGGGTGGCTAAATTAATATGCAAGATTTCAGTAACATGGCGTTTGTTCAGCCATGACTACTTTTCGTTTAATCTGGTTAATGTTTTTCCAGTCGACTTTAAGAAGCAATCTAATTTAATAAATTGAAGGCAACTAGGTCTTCTTTTTTCAGTGTTTTCTAGGAGAAAATTTCTAATTGTCTACGATCGAATTCTTGTACAGCACTCGTGTGACCACTCTCTTCTCCGTAGAGGTTCGGGGGTTCGTTATAGAGATCCGCTTCACGCTGTGACTGAAGGCGTAGAAGTGGAACTTTCCCACTTTAAACTTCTGCGTAGGAGAGAAAGTGGTGACCAAAAATTTATTGAATTCTGAAGATGAGTATATAAATATCTAAATAAACCAGTTAAAGCACTGCTTTCTACGGAAACAGCAAATGTTTCATTGTTCTCGCACCCCCTGATTTTGTTTACTTTTCCTTGCATGTCTTATTTAATGGATAGAAATTGTTGCATCACGTAGTCCATAGACTAATAATGATTGCATAATCAGGCCTCAATATTTTAACATATCAAGAGTGACTCTTTTTAAAAAGAAATCAGAATTTTTCACCTCTCATTTTACTCTATCTCTAAATTAATGCTAGCAATACGTTAAAATAAAGGTCTTAATTTTTTATGGTCATTTTGGTTAAGTTTCGTTTCGCGATTGTCTGCTATTGTGGGAAATAATAACGGTCAATAACGGTCCAGACGATTTTACACTTGCAGTTTTGTTTGCGATTTCGATTAAAACTGATTCTTTCGATAAACTGATTGCTCTGCACACATCTGAAACTGACGCACATTTTAAGAATAACTGCAAAGAATATTGCCCTTGGCAAACAGTAATCGGATAATGCGCTGCTATTTCTCGCCATACAGTAATGTATTTATTGCATTATCCTGCTAACGTTGCACAACGAGCTAGAAATTTAACCGTCAAAAATAGGAAAAGAAAGAAATTTCAGGCATTTTGTCCTAAAATGCTCAACCAAAGAGGAACTCGTCACCTTCAGTCAGTAACATCCGACAACGTTCTTAAAATCGACTTAAAAAACGTGACTGACCAGATGAAGCGAAAATTGGTCATGGCTAATTGAAGGGACAACTGAATTAAACTCTTCATGTAGACCCGCTGTTTTAACTGAACGGAATAGGCATGGTTATATTTTAACACTCGTTTTATTGGAATCAGCATAACTACTGTTTTATCAGTTATTGTTTAATAAATAAAGCGCAGATTATGAGCGCATTTTCACATTTTTGCGCTTTTCCGTGCTAATGTTGCATACCGTATTATAAAATTAAGCGCCAAAATTAGAAACTAGATTAATTAACAAGAAGCATTAAATTTCAGAAATTTTCTCCTTAGAAGTGTCGAAAGAGAAGACCTAATTGCCTTCACTTTATCAAATTAGATTGCGTTCTTGAAGTCCACTAGAGAACATTAACCAGAAGAAACGAAAAGTGGTCATGGCTGAACAAACGCCATATCGCTGAAATCTTGCATATTAATCTTGCATATTAATTTAGCCGGCACTTCGTTTAATTAAGTCAGTTAATAAATTACCGATAATGAGTCAAGACAAACAGTGAGCCCACATACAACTACAGAACTCGCAACACTAAATTACACCATGAGCTATAAGAGGCGTGGATTTCGACTAATAAGATCAGTTTCTTACCAATAAAGTCGTCTACTTACAAATATATTCGTCCAGTTCCTTTCTGCGATTGAACTTTTGTACAGCACTCGTGTCACCTCTCTCTTCTCCGCAGAGGTTAGGGGGTTCGTTATAGAGATCCGTTTCGTACTGTGACTGAGGGCTCAGAAATGAAAAGGTCAGCGGATCTTTCCCACTTTAAGCTTCTGCGGAGGAGAGAAAATGGTGAACAAAACTTAATTGAACGTTGAAGATGAGTATATAAATATCTAAATAAACCAGTTGACAAAATACACCCTTA